ACAATTAATAATTTAGAAACAAATATTAAAAAAATAAGTGACCCAATACTTTTGTAAGTAGACATCATCGATCCCTTGCTTGGGAGCTGCAAATTAAACAATTTGGACATTTTCTTTATGTTCCAACCCTAGACATCGAATCAATAAAAAGTACAGCAAAGAGCATTCATGATTTTATCAATACAAAATACTGTTGGCGGTGTTGCGGCCGCGGCGGCGTGGCCAGAGAGACAGGGAAGATGGAATTCTGGTTCCGACTTCAGGGTTCAGTCATCAGACTGATTTAAATATACTCTACTAAATACTAGTGGAAAGACATTTCCGAGATTCTTCCAAAACAACGAGACACACTTTTGCCCTTTCCCGCAGAACAATGCGAGTAGTGCCTCCATTCAAACTCCCATAGCTTCCACCATTTTCATGGTGGTAGTATATATATATATATTACCAAAAAAAATTTAGTATATATATTTTTTAATCTTAAGATTCAAGATACAGAAATAACATCCTCTCATACTTAAAATACATAAATAACACTCTTACATTTTAACTCCTAACTACTCAGCTTGCATTTCATGTAAATAGGAACTTAAAATAGTTTTTATTTTTATTAAAAAAAATTATTATTGAACTATTTTTTATTTGAATGATTGGGCAGCATTTCATACTAATTATGCATTACTTGCACTCATTATGTACTTATCTTAATCCTCCCAAAAATAAAATCATTTTAATGGAAAGTTGCAGGTTTCAGTTTATGAGCAAACCTAGGAACATGAAGAATGATGGTAGGTTGCTCCATTTTCTTACCAGAACTCTTTGGAAAAGCTGACACATGATTACTTTGTTGTGTTCCAATGTCCGAATTCAAGTTTCTACTTTGTATCAGATCTACGACTTAGCCGTATACCCAAAAAAAAGAAGGGAGGGAGGAAGCATCAAGCACATGTATCCACTCCAGGGGTTGGTTGCCCATTACTATAGGACATTGGCCCCATAACACAACACTAAATAAATACAAACTCATTGTTAGGAACCGCATAGCCTCTGGTCTGTTCCAATGTGGTTGAGACATGGGCAATATCTGTCTGGTTTTAGATGAGCACCAATCCCTCTTCTTTTTCTTTTTCTTTTTCTTTTTTCATTTTGGTACTTTTATTATTGGGGTAGGGTCTAAATTCAGTGGAGATGCCTTCCAATCAAGCTGATGAAATGAATATAAAAGGGAACACAGGAAATACAAACAGATTTGATGAGATTTGTCATGAACTGGGGAGACTTGATTCAGGATGGTGGTCTGGTGGCAAAATTCTAGATCTGATTATCTCCCATGACTCTGCTAAGTAAAGAGGGTGGATCTGGATTTCTCAATGGAATTTTTGTGTGTATTTTGTTGACCCTGTGATGTCTGATGTTGTGTCCAGTCCACTTGTGCATGTGTATTAAAATGGGTAACCATTTCTGCTGTCACATCCTTCGGATATATTTGCAGGATTTTACTTAATTCTTACTCTAACAAAAAATAATAATATAAGTGTACATGATTAAGTACATAACTCCTGCAATTCAGCATAATTTCAACTAATTGCAAACAGATCTCTGATCTATTTTCGTTTTGTTTCAAGATCTGAATATTTGTGTTTCAATTCAAAAATCTCATAACAAGAATATTTTTATGATCTAGTGGTCATCTTTCCCTTATAAAAAAACTTTTTATGCGAAATTTAACATGTTTGAGGTTGGGCTCCGACCTTTAACATTCAAAATAAAAAAAAAAAAAATTCAAAAATCTCATAACCACCCATTTACTAGGCTATGAACATTCTTCAAAAACGGCTTGACCAAAAAGGTAGAAGCTGAGAAGACGTACACGTTTTGTCTTTTCTTTTCTTTTCTTTTTAACAAAGAGAAATGAGGCAATGGAAACATAAACAAAAATGAGAATGTGTAAAATTACGGTGTTTGTACTTTGGACATTAAAAATATTATAATATTTAATTAAAATTACATGATAAGTAAGAGATAATATAAACTTCATTTAAGTTATGGGTGGAATTAAACATATTGATATTTTTAATATTAAAATATTTTAATTTTTTCTTTTTTAAAAATAATAAAAGATTTTATCGGCACACTAACATTCTTAACCTTTATCAAGAATTGTTAATCATCATTGTTACATAGTGTAAGGACAGGTCCGAGGTGCTCAACTTCAGACGTATGACAGTAATTCCTTTATTACTGAAGTGATGGATAAATTCAAAACTTCTCGCTCAAATAGCTGCATGACAACGATAATAAGCACGTCCGTACCTAATTCTTTATGATAAGCTGCACAGCAATTATGATGGACATCCTTACATCTGAATATCTTTCAAATTTTTGATCCCGAAATAACCGTTTGGATAAACACGTCAGACTCCGATTATTTTGCTTGACATGCCACGTGGGTTCCTCACTGAAACTTATAAATACCCCCTAGGGCCCACGTAAAAAAGGTAATTGAAACCAACCCTAAACTCATTTGATCTTCGTTCTAAAGGTAGCCCTAATTATTACTGACTTAAGCATCAGAGTGTCTATCTCGAGAACCCACTTCGGGGCTTTGCAAGTCAATCCGGAGTACAGATACGAATTAAAAAAGGATTTCTGATTTGGTGCAATTACACATAGGAAGTAGTTTAATAACCTGATATACTTTGATAAGTAAAATAAAATCCTTCAGATGTTTTCATCAAAGTCCTAGGAGCTAAATTTTGCATAAAAATAAAAATATTATATTAACAGAAAAGCATTTTGCCATTTAATGCAAATTGTATAATTATAACTGTTAATGACAAAAGATCCTTACATGTCTTCTTCAAAATCAATGGTGAATTTATTATAATCACACTTTAATCAAATTATAAAACAACATTCTCTTTCGTTAATGCTGAGAATATGACCATTGACCACAAACATTTTTGTTGATGTTGTATATTGTGGCCCAGTATTTGTATGTGAGATGTGACAGTCCAATATTTCACAAGAATCTAAACACCTAATCCGATGGTATCCTATGCATGTGACAATGGGACCCCACTCCTATGTTTAAACTTTGAAAAAATTAGGGGGGCAATGTTCAAAGGCAGATCACCTTGATGGCTTGATGTGGTGCCATGATCAGATCATCAGATGTAGCGGTCCTGATCTAATTTGCTTTTGTGTGTCCCCTGTAAATCAAAAAGGACACCCAGTATTGAATAGGGACCTCTGGTTCAGTAGTTCGCTCTTAATCTGTAAAGTTTTTCAATTCATTGGTTAGAGTTTCGATTTCCAGTAATATTTTAGTAATTTTTTTAAATCGTAAACTGTTTAAAAAAAACTAATATAGTATGGTATAAGAATTTTTTTGATACATTATATAATGAGTTATAAAACAAAAAATAATTATATATTTTTTAATATTTTTTTTACCATTTCAATATTTTAATTTTAAATATTTAATGCAAAATTTTAACCTTTTAACTATTATGATATTTCTCAGGGAACATAATATAGTATAGAGATGGAAAGGAGGGAGCTATGGTAGTTATGATTAACCATTAAGACAATTAATTCTTTTAAACAGTGTATTTAACTTGTTAAGAATTTAATATTTTAAATTAAAAATTTTAAAATTAAATATTAAAATAAATAAATGAATTATTCTCATTATATAAGTCATCATATTATATATTAAAAAAAATTAAGACAATAAATGAGGTGGGTATTGGGTGTGCGGGTGGAGGGACGGCCCACTCGAATAGTGCTAGAAGTAACAGTCTGTCGGAACATGTGGGAGCAGTAGTCAACAATTTTTGAAGATTATAAATGAAGAAGAAGCTGAGATTTCACTCATTGAGGTATGGTTAGGTGCTTTTAATAATGAAGGACACCATATGTTTACAGCTCTCTCTTATGTGAGACCCCATCATGCATTCAAACTTCTACCTTTATTTACTTCACCAGCTTCTTTTCTTTTCTTTCTTTCTTTCTTTTTTTTTTTTTTTTTTTTGAAATAGGGATTTTAGATTTTCATATCAACTTGTAAAAAAATATATGTAAGAATATTTATGAAATTAATTAAATATTTTTAATAAATTAACATGAAAAGTGAGTTTTTAATATATTTAAATAATTTCATTTGTATTCATGTATTTTTTTCATACAAGTTCACATAAAAAAATATTTTTCTGTTAAAAGAATTACAAAAATTTTCATGCCTTTATTTTCCAATATGTCATTAGAGATGTTGTGAATGAATTATTTTTATTAAATTAAAGATTTTTTCTCTTTTTTTGGCCATATACTTATAAGTTAATTAAACTAATAATAAAAGTAAAAATCAAGATGTTTCATACTTTAAATGTTAAGATTTCATATAAAATAATTTAAATATTTTTAATAAAATTTTTTATGTGATAATTTATTTTAAATATTTTAATTTTTTTATTATTAATTTTGACATTTTAATTGCAAGATATTATAAGTTTACTCAATCCCTAAATTAATAAAAATCGACCTAACCTCTATTTGTGCTTCTTCTTCTTTTTTTTTTTTAATGTTCTGTGATCACTTTTTTCGTTTTAATTTA